TTCCAATAGGATACACATCGCTAAATAAAATGAGTCACTATGAATGAATCAGATTGAGTGGGAACAAAGTAGGAGCTCTTTATAAACTCAAAGCATATTTGGGCAATAACTAAAATGCCCGCAAATATTCAGAGCACTAAGTTAAGAATGAATTTATGCCAACTCACAAAGAAGTATTTTTTGTATCTTAATACTTACGATCAAATAATGATTTTATGTCATATCACTGATGGATATGAGACTAGAGGCTGCGAGGAGAGGCTGTGATTAGGAAAGCTAAGATCATGATATTGTTTGCTTTGGGGCAAGAGAAAAGCAGTTAGTATGTTATTGCAGTGTAGCAATAACTACAGCTAAGCAGTAGCTGCGTACTCATTTTGAAGCTGCATTCTACTCAAACAGCCATTATTGCAAATTTTTTGAATTAGATGGCAAATGGATGGTTAGGAAATTCTCAAAATAGCAATCTGTAAATGCATTTATAAGATGTGACTGACAATTAAGAAGCACCATTTTAACAGGATTTTTTTTAAAATTAAGCATTGCAAAAATTAGAATAGGTCATTCTGCCTGGCTTAAACCATTTTGATTATTTTGTTAAATAAGGAAAGGGAATATTCAATTTAGTATCTGCAAAAGCTAATATTTACATTGTTCAGTACATAGAGGCAGGATCACATTAAGAGAAATGGAAAGAAGAAGAGAATAAACTGTTCTCAGGGTCCACTGTAGATAAAACAAATATTAATGGGCTTAAATTGTAGCAATGTAGAGTTAGGTAAGGCACTAGGAAAAAATCTACTGATACAGCTAGGGAGGAATGGGAAGGGATAGTGCAGGGAAAGCATGGAACTACTCTCCCTGGAAAAGATTAACGTAATTCTTGCCAATGTTTATCTAGAGCTGAACTACCCTGGGACAGACTGTAACTATCTCTTCAAGTCTTTTCCCACCTTGTTTGCCACTTGAGGATGCTGCTCTCAAGCTCTTTCTTCTCAACCCCTTGTTCATGCACATCCCCTTGTTGTAGCACGAAAGCAGATCTCTGGGCAATCTAAGGCAGGAATAAGCCAGCATCATTGTCCGGATGAAAGCCAGGACACTGCTGTGCCAACGCAGCCTCTGCTCTTTGCTACCACCTTGCATTGTAAAGGATGCTGATTTCCAGAAACAATACCTGCCACAGAGAAATCAGGATGGAAAGGAACAGATGAAACAGATTTCTCCTCTAAGTTAACTGCTCTCTCTTTCAATTTTGTTTCCATCACACGTATGAAAGTTTGAAAGAAACCAAGAAGAAAGAGTGGACAGCACATAGGGAGCAGACACTGGACAAAGGTGTGGTACGAGACCATCAGAATGCAATGAACCCACCTGGTGCGGGGACTTGTGAACCAGTATTGGTAAAGAAGAGGGAAGCACCAGGAAGGAGATGGAAATTCAGATGACACATTTAGGTTATGTAGTTCCAGAGAAAAATATTGTTTTCAAGAGTTTTAAATTTAAACACTTTGTTTGCTGCAGTCCTTGCATTAACAAGCCAATTGGAATGCCAACCTGGAATATCATCAACGTCTTCAGATGAGAGGGAGAGGAAGGATTTTTATCAGAAAATGCTTTCATTTTCTATGCGTTGTCATATACACACTTCTACTAAAGACAAAGTCCTTCAGCTGCTGGCTGAAGTCAGCAATGCCTGTCAACCACAGTGTGCCCTGGAGCAAACTGCACCAAGAGAACTGGCATTCACCCTTACCGATGAGGCAGGAGGGAATCATCACCAGCTGGATGGGTTGGGATACCTCTGCATTGAGAGACTGGGATGAGCAGGGCATCCACAGGGAGCAAGCAGTAAGGTCTAGAACATCGTAGCTCTGTAAGTGTATGAAGATGACTTGGTGTCAGCCACAGAACCGTGCTGTAGGGGACTGCAGGAGTAATTCCACTAAGTCACTGCTTCAAAAGACAGGGCTGGCTTAGAACTTAAATGTGGTATACCTGCCAGAAAGTTAAATCTGAGCATCTCCAGAAGTCTTAGGAAAAAAGAGAGGAATCATAGAATCATAGAATGGTTAGAGTTGGAAGGGACCTCAAAGATCATCGAGTTCCAACCCCCTGCCCTGGGCAGGGACACCTCCCACCAGCCCAGGTTGCTCAAAGACCCATCCAGCCTGGCCTTGAACCCCTCCAGGCATGGGGCAGCCACAACTTCCCTGGGCGACCTGTTCCAGTGTCTCACCACCCTCATAGCAAAAAACTTCTTCCTGAGAAGAAGGAATGAGGAAAGACAAACTACGTAACATTTCAGCTGCTGAACAGTTTGTTGGAGCAGCAGAACTGAAGCAGGTTTTTAGATCTGGTACATTGTGTATTAGAAGCTTTTATGTTGTGAGGGACACAGCACTGAGAAATTACCTACCAACAACCTGTGCACCCCCGTGTAAGATGTGGGTAAGAGTCTGGCAGGCTCTTCAGAGGTCATGGTAGATGGCTCGAGTGGCAAGAACCAGCCATGGAGCTTGCTGTCCTCCCTGGCTAATGTCCCCATGGCACGTGGGCAGCACTCCTGGAGCACTGCACTGCAGCCTTAGGTTAATACCAGAGACATCATGAAGTCAGTAGTTAAGAAGCTGATTCTCTCCCCTCCTTATGACTTCACCTGCTTTTAACAGAGTAGGTTCCTCAGCCATCTCCCCCTGATGGGTGGGGAATGGCTCCTTTATCATTAATTCTGTCACGTGGATATTACAGGTAAAAAATATTATTGAAAATATTGTCTTGCTACATCTGTGCAATAAATCACAAGGAACTGAAAAGTGGCCAAATATATGAAGATAGTCACAATAAAGACAAAAAGCATCATTTGCCCACGCTGTGTGACACAGGCCGTATCACTCACTGAAAGCCCTGAGAAAGCCTTGAAATA